CACTGTAATACCAAAATATGCACAAGTCCTGTACTAAGCCCCGATAGCACCATAACCCACTCGTAGATTTATCTTGGGTCACATATCTTGATTTGGGCCTAGACCGCGTTCTCTTTTTAGGGTAAACAACAAAAATTCATTAGTTTATTACCTAATTACTTTATCTTTTCCCTTCAATTTTCATTATTATGAATCCTATCATAAATTGAACATCATATATATGTATCTCTTGCATGATCAGATACATATTAGATAGATGGATATCATTTAGTGTGTCTAATAAAGAAAGCATAACCGTTAATAAGAAATCAATATAAAGTCTACAAGAAAGAAACAAAAACAATAATAAACACAATAAGTGACCTATGGCAAGTACTACAAAAATACGATCAGTACTATGACACATTAGAAAGGCAGATAACACACTACCCCTAAACTTTTTAAGCAGTCAAAATGAAAACTATATAATTCAAGAATTCATTTTTCTCGTGTTATTATCCACCCGATAAGCAACTCTACTTCTGTATCTAGTATTATGTTCTTTATAAATTGACTTGATAAAATGAGCATTACTATTCAAGGATTTATTTTTTGTTAATTAAATTACACATACTGATAGGTCTCATTTCAGAAAAATGTTGAGGGGAATGTATTTTAGGATTCATAGAAATGATAGTATGAGTTAACCAGGACGACTTACATGACAAAAAAAGGTTGTAACCTGTAAGGAATAGGAAGATTCAGGATTCAATCTATCGTATTTGGGAATTCGTGCTTAGCATGATCGTGGAACTTGTAAAAGATTTTATTTGCGTATTATCATACTTGGAATTTATTCATTTAATGTTTGAGGTTCGTTTTACATAAAACGTTTGCGATCGTAATACTTTGGGAAAAATTTCATTTCATATTCATGATATTAAACATCTCGAACTAACTATAGAATTAGATTCAACAATGTCTACATCAAAAATGACTCAAATTTAAGACAAACATATACAAGTAAGGGACATACCAAACACCTCAATCATCACAAGTAGAGTATTTACAAGCCTGATAGAACTTTTGTGAGTTAATCACACCCCGGGGCACTATGAGGATCCATAGTCATGAGATTGATTTTGATATTATTCTCTGTAGAAAGATCACTCAAATTATCCTCTTGCACTTTCAGATATAAAACATGGTCTTAGCTTAGCTTTATTGAGATTAGCTCTTTTTTTCAGGACTGTTGTTGGTCTTCATAGCATGTTCCTCCGGAGTGATGACATTATGTCTATAGGTACTTTCAGATCATCTGTTAAAATAAGTTGAAGACAAATGAGTCACACATGTTCACAGTGAAGAGATTGTTCTATAACACTAACATTAGAGAGACGCCTACATATCAAGCATTCTAATATAATTTGTAATATGAACATAATTGACAAAATGTTTTTGAAGAATGATCATAGAAGTATTGTATGCTTTTTTATTAGCTTAAGTCTTTCAAAAAAAATTGAGTTATACCCATCCATATCAATTTAAACTAATTTATAGCTTTCCTCAATGAGGTGCAAGCTAAGTTGTGCGGACTCTTCACTTTTGATGCCTTATCTGTGTTGGATTCTCCAAAAATACACTACTTATGGAGAATCCGTCATGCACGTGTTGAAATTGTTTTAAGATACCGAGCAACATAGATAGCAAGCATAACAGGAATTGTTACCAAGATTGGGTTAGATGTAACCTTTTTTCTTCTCTTGCTCTTCATTTTTGTTCTTCTACTATGTTGAAAATGTACTGATCCCAAAAATGTTTTTGTTCTCACAACCATTCGAGATTTTCTTTCGTTTTTTCTCATTTCTTGAACTTTGTATCTCCCCGACTGCTTCTATTACTTAGTGTTAATGGGAATCACTGGTTATTTTTCTTCTAGCAGCTAAAGGTGATCACCATTGTGTCTGGACATCTTTTTGCGTCCTGTCATATCCATTCTTCACTTCTTTTTTGTTCTCCGTTATTGCTTGTTGAGGTCCTGGTTATTGTGTTTTTTCATTGTGATTGGAAAACTTTTGCATTATGCGTCCCATTTAAAGAAGTGCCAGTAACTTCTAGGATGTCATTCTTTTTCTTTTGCAAATGTCACAAGTACTCTGCTCACCTTCCTTTTACCTCCATTACCTTTCGCGACTCCTATATACAGTGCAAGCGGAAAAAAGGGATTCACACAAGTACTCTGCTCTCCAAAAGGTCCATTTATTCTTAATGTGAGATTTCCTGATTCATTTATGAATTTAATTGACCCCCAACAGATATCAAACACCAGGTGAGAGAACAAATTGAAAAGAATGCAACATCTTTGACCATACACCATTTTCAGACATTATATCTATGATTATATTCCATTGAAAAAGAAAAACTGCATAGATATTCAGTGCAAAGCTCTTGGACAAATTAGTTGAATTCCTTGAATAGACATAGAACTCAAGCTTCAATATCACAATAGACAAGTAAATATATCAATCAATCAACTACATATTTTGATTCAGAAATATGTAGGCTCCTGAAAATAATGAGAACAAGAACAAAATATACATACAAGGACAAGTTTAGTATATTAACAATCCAAAATTAAGGTTTGCACAATCGAGTCTTTTAGAAGATAACAAACTACATATAATCTATGTTCTTGATATGACCTGCATGAACTTATCAAACAAGAAAAATTAGACTCCTTTATTTTCCTATATTACATCATACAAGGATGAACTTGAAAAGACTGTGCAAATAGAAGGTTCATTTGATGTTTTTACCATAAAGTTTTCTGAAGTGAACTACCATAAGAGGGACAATGAAGATAGTAACTTTTTCAATGCGTATAGCAGTGGTAAACATATTGCACATCATGTTGCCCCAAGACCTTCTAAGGACTTAACTAGGATATCCATGGAGACTCTAAGATATAATATGGAGAATAGACACTAAATTGGACACAACTGGAATTTGGTATTTAAAAAGATCTACACAACTACATGACAGAGAATTAAAGGCGATGGTTCAGACTACAACATTTTATAAATAGGCAAAGCTTGTAGAGAGTACCCAATTTTTATTGTATAGACCATATATAACTTACATAAAATAAAACTACAATCGACTAGTAAATAATAATCTACTTTCTTTCTAATAACTAACACTACTAGTTCGAATTACTTGTATATAGAGAAATAGAAATAACTATGATATATCCGCCAACACTTGAACTTCAGGGAATGCTACTTCATTGTGCCTTCCTAGTCCTTGCTCGTTTTAATTCTTCTAGATAGTCTCAAGTCCTTCACAAGTACAAAATATGGATCAGCATTGTCTTCCTAGCCCTTGAGAGTCCTCTCACGCTGAACATCTGGTTGCGTTGTTGCCAATGCTGAAGTTGTACCATCACCTTTTCTAGACCCGTCTTCCTTGTTCTTAACAGGCCTCCCACGACCCTGTTTTTTTGGATTCTCCAAATCCTCCTCTTTTTCCTTTTACTACTGCTTTTTTGTGTATTTGACGAACTCCCCCTTCTCTTTCTCTTTCTCTTTCCTTTTCCCTTTGGATTTGAGCTTTCGCTGTCATCGGGAAGAGAAAATCGTCCTCCATCAATCATAACAATTTCCTCCCTTTCACATATCTTCTTAGTATTGTCATATGAGCCTTGGCAAACTGTCATTATTTTTCATGATAAACTTAGATACTGAATCTTCATTAGAACCCTCTTCTTCGTCAATTTTCTACAACGCCTTTTCAATCATCTATAACAAAACAAAACATTCGATTAGACTATAAGCATTTGATTTACATCATTAATTAACAAAATTCAGAAGAGTCAACTCCTAAAAATTGAAATATATTACCAAAGAACTCATATTAATCCAAATAATCAAATGTAATATTTTCAAAAATTTGAACAAAAAAAGATAAATGGGATTAGTTAAAACTTTCTAAAAATCAGTTAATTCTAACAAAAAAAACACATACTTTAGTGACAAAATGAACTACCCAAGCATAAGGAGGATGATCACGGGTTGTCTGAAGACCAGACATAAAACAATCAACTCGCAGTTGAAGAATCAAATTCTGGGTATCTGATAATGGCACATTTGGTTCAATGCTGGACATTTTAACAATTCCTTCTCTAAATTTGTCCATGGATTCTCCAAATTCTTCTTCTTCTTGAACAACTTAGTGTTTTCACAAGTTCTTTTTTTGTGTTTTGACAAATAAATCATTACCGGTAGTATTCCCTATTTATAAAAGTTTTTTGGGCGGTTAGGTTGAGAAATTTGAACCTTTTTTTACTGTTCTTGGGGATGATTTTATTTTTAAGAAAATATGTATATGTAATTTAAAAAAGAACTTAATGTATTATTTCAAAATAAAATCATTTATTTGAAAATGCAAGACAAAATAATCTAAAATTTCTTGTTAAAACTGAAGAAAATTTCTCCAAATTAAAAATGAAATAACACCAATCAATGATCTATCAAATCATTAAAATAATTTCAAAAATTCTAATGTGAAATAGAAGTAACAAAAATGGAAGAAGGAGAAGAAGAAGAAGAAGAAGAAGAAGAAGAAGGCATGGAGAAATGAGAGAAGGGATTGTGAAATGTCCAACAGTGATCCCAATCCGCCATTATCAAAGACCCAGAACTCTATTCTTCAACAACACCTTAATCGTTTTTATGTCTACTCTTTAGAATACCCCCATCATCCTCCTTACGCTTTGATAATTCATTTTTACACTAAAGTTTGAGTTTTTTTTTCTTGTTAGAACTAAATGACTTGTAAAAAGTGTAAACTAAACCCATTTATCATCTTTTTTTGAATTTTTTGAAACAAATCGAGTTGATTATTGGATAAAATGAGTTCTTTGGTTGTAGATTTCATTCTGGGTAGGGGTTAACTCTTCAAAATTTGGTTGATTAACAATGTAACTTAAGATCCTTGTGGCCATAGTTGAATGACAATAGATATCCAAAACAATTAGTATAATAGAATTATGATCTATTTTTTGAAAAATAAAAATGTAGAATTTAGAAGATATTTATACAAGTAATAGAGTCCTAATCATCTACTGGTTTTAAGATAATGAATGTTAGCTGGGAGAGCCTTGATTGGGGAAGATCCCTAATTTAGGGTCAATAAAGGTATAGTAAACACCCTCCATCGAACTAATGTTGTGTATCACAAAATATGAGTTTGGACAGTACATAATTGTTTTTACTCCTTGACACAACCTTTGTAAATAAGTCAGACCGTTGATCTTTAGAGTATAAATGCTTCAGGCTAATACTCCAATCTTCAATCAGTTCTCTAATGTCGTCAAAGTCTATATCTATGTGCTTGGCGTTTTCATGATGGACGAGGTTTGTTGCTATTCTGATTGCACTAGTGTTGTCTCCATACAATGTGGTTGATCCTTTAATTTTGATGCCAAGTTTTGATAGCAATCTTCGCAGCCAAATGATTTCAGAGCATGCAGCAAACATACTTTAATATTATGCCTCTACGGATGACTTTGATGTTCAAGATTGTTTCTTGCACTTCCAAGAAATCATGCACAAGCCAAGTATCATGCACCAACCTGTAGTTGATCGTCTTGAATACGGGAATCCTGCCCAATTTGCGTCAGCGTATCCCACCATCTCCAGTGATAAAGATAATGGGAATAAGTAGTAAATATCATGTATCTAATCAACCTGAGCAAAGCAATGTAGTGCATCTTGTAAAGGTTGGTAAAAAATTGGTTTAACACTTGTACTGCGTAAGAGATGTCAGGACGACTCATAGTAAGATATATAAGTGATCCAACTAAACGATTATATAAGTCCTTCCTTTTTAATGAGGAGTGGAAAAGATCTTTCAAATGGGAGATTCCAACTTAATCGTTTCATGTAATAATCATGTCATCTACATAAGAAGGAGAAGAGTAATACCTGAGGTACTCCGACATAAGAATAATGAATAATTTGATCTACTTTGAGTAAAACCAGCAAGATTGTGGAGCAAAACTTTTCAAACCGAGAGCGAGGAGCTTGCTTTGATCCATAGAGAGATTTCTTAAGATGACAAACCTGATTTTGTTTAATATATTTATAACTTGGTGGTGGATTCATGTAGAGCACTTCTTGCAGGTTTCCATGCAGGAAAGCGTTCTTGACGTCCAGTTGATGTAACTTACAACCTTTTATTGATGTTAAGGCAAGCAATATACGTAAGGTTGTCATAAAAGCTACTGGATCTAATATTTCATCATAGTCGATTCCATATTCTTGTTTGTATCCTTGAGCTACTAATTTTGCTTTGTATCGATCTAGGTATCCATCATCTTTCATCTTGACTGAGTACACCAATCTACTTCCAATAATTGTTGCATTTGTTGGTCTATCCACCAAATCCCATGTATCATTCTCCTCAAGGGCAACTAATTCTTCATGCATTGCATCCTCTCATCATTTCATACCACTAGCCTACATGTAAGAGTTTTGTACAACAATAGAATTCAAGGTTGTTAGTAAGGCATAAGATCAAGCATATTCACTTGTTGAGCATCCATATCGTTCTGGAGGGTAAAGCATGCCGAAATGATCATCTAATGGGGTCAATGCTATTTTGACGAGTGGGGGAAGGTTGGTTGTTAAGATTTAATAAGGCATTATATAAGTGAGCTAAAGAGTTACTATTAGCCAAAGTAGTATCATTATAAAAAAAGGATCAAAGTCATAAGTAGTACCTGATGTGGTAGAGTACATAGTCAATGAAGGACCAATGACAAGGTGGCTATGGCAAGTAGCATCATGAGAAGAAAGTTATTCAGGAAAGACATAGTAGAGAATTGTGAGTCTTTGTTACTATAAATAAAAGAATTATCAAAGAAGATAACATGTCGTGAGATTCGTAATGAACGACGTGTTGAATCATAACACAAATACCATTTTGGATATCATTGCATCCTAATAAAACACATTTAACGGCTTATAAAGATAATTTATGACGTTCATGATCCGGAAGAAGAATAAAGCACACACAACCAAATACTCTAAGATGTGAATAGTTAGGCAATTTTTTGAAAAGAATAAAATAAGGATAATTTGTTTCATGATCGAGAATGATTGTCTATTTATGAGATAAATAGATTCTTGGATTTATTCAACCCAAAATAATTTTGGAACATTTGAAGTATCAAGAAGGGATAAGGCAGTTTCAACAACATGTCTATTCTTACGTTCCAGCACACCATTTTGTTCCGGTGCATACGGACAAGAACGCTGGTAAATTATGCCTTTTTGTTAAAAAAATTAGTGAGGTTTTTATTGACATATTCCCCTTCTGAATCAGAATGAAAAATCTTGATCTTTTCCCCAAATTTGGTTTCTATAAGGTCATAAATTTTCTTGACAACATTTGGTACCTCAGACTTGTGTTTCAAGAAGAAAATCGATGTATCACGAGATACTTGATCAATGAATAGAAATAAATACTTGTATCCCAAACGAGATATATATAATTGGAGAAGGTCCCCAAATATCGCTATGAATTAAATCAAAAGGATTAAAATAATTAGTATTTCTTAGTTGAAAAGGAAAACTCATTGATTTTGCACAACTTTCACAAGGTAATTTAGAGGGAAAAATCAGTGAATCTTTTCCCAATAAATTACAAGATTTAAGCATAAAATATAACTGAGAAGCGTGTGGATAGCCTAAACGGAGATGCCACAAATTACACATTTTATTTGAAAATGAATATGTTTATTTGAAGCTAGAAGAAAACACTGATGAAGTTTTGTATCCTAAGATTGAAGAAGAAACAACCTGCCAAACTTACGTCCCCTGGCCATCGTTTCCCCGGTCAATATGTTTTGAATAACACAATAATTAGGAGAAAAAATAACCAAAAAATTTTGTGCTACAAGTTGCCCAACAGATAAAAGATTAGTGAAAAGTTAAAGATGATTATTTGAAGGTACAAAAAAATATCTTTGATATTTAGTAGAACTTCCTAGAAGTTTGCAGAGTAAATATCTTTAATTTGATATTTATACTAAAGAAAAATCTAGAGGTTCTAGATAATTAGATATTTATAATAAAGTATACAAATATCTAGGTTCTTATTACAAGATTAGAAGATAAGATATCTGTATTTTTCTTGTAGAAATAACTAGAATAATTTCTAGAAGTATCCGTTTACAAGCATAAATAGTGGTGGCATTAGACATTTGTATGGAACCCAAAAAACCAAGAACAACTCAAATAAAATAGTCTTCTTCCATAAACAAGTTCTCCTTTCTATCTTCCTCTTTCTTAGTTGAATCTTTCAATCATTTTTAACGATCTTGGGCTAGGAGAAGGTCTCCATGATTATACTTTTCTTCTTCTATTCTCTACATGGTATCATAGCCATATCCATGGATTTGTTAGTGTGTTATTTCAAGATCGGGTTAGTGGTGGATTCAACTAGTTTGTCTATATGAATTTTAGGGGTCATGTTAATGGACTGAGGATGGAGTTATTAAATCAGTTCACTTACAAGGTATGAAAGACATTTATAGAATCATACCTTGCAGGAGAGGATTCGTGATATGTTGTTAATGGTAATGACTCAAGTCCTGCTGACGGACTGGAAAATAGTACAAGAAGTGGAAGCAGGTTAATGCAAAGGCGGAGTTCATTCTGAAAAGGACAATCTCTTCCGGTTTATCTGATCACATTATAAAGTGTAAACCAACTTATGAAATATGGAGGACCCTCGATAGCTTGTTCAACAAGAAGAATGAATCTAGGTTGCAGATATTGGAGAATGAATTGGCTAATACCACTCAAGGTAACCTTTCTATCTCCGAGTACTTTTTGAATATCATAAACATATGTTCTGAGATATCTTTGTTGAATACGGAAGAGGCTATCTCTGAAGCACGAATGAGAAGAATTATTTTTTTTAGTTTCAAACCTGAATATATTTCATTTATGACGTCAATTCAAAAATGGTCTCAAAAACAATTCTTTGAGGAGTTTGAAAATTTGTTGTCGTCAAAACAACTACTAGCCAAGAAATTGGCTAGTGTATTTTTCAAAGAAGGAGAAGGAAATGCTCTTATAGCCAACAACAGAAACTTTAAAGGAAAAACAAGAGATGTGCCAGACTCTCGATCCTCAGGTGGTTTACGCTCACCTGGAGAGAAGGAAGAGTCTTCTAACAATTATTGTTAGAAGCTTCTTAGATGCTATTGTTGTGGTAAAGTAAGACACACAAAAACATATCGTCAAGCAAAAGAGCAATATGGCTCAAAAAGTTGTTGAAGTAGAAGAAGAGAGGGAAAATTGTTTAGTAGCTGAGGCTCGGGCAATAGTTGCCATGATTTCCATCAATATTGAAAGAGAATGGATCAAGGATATTGAATATAATATAGTCGATCATGTGGAGAAGCAAGCAACTGATGTTGTCGATATGAACATATTATTGAAGAAATCAAAGAAGAAGATCTTTAATAGACAATATCTAAAACTACATTTGCTAGTGGTGACGTTTACAAGGAAAGCATTGGGGGAGATGTATTAGAAGTGGCGGTATATGGTCAATCATCCGCAATATGAAGGTCAATTAATGACTCGGAGAAAATTCTGAAAGCAAATGAAGAAAGCAGAGATCAAATAGAAGAAGCTGATACTGAAGTCTTAAAACAAACGATATGATTTTTGAAAGTTTGAAGCTACCACAATATCTATCGATGAGATGATAAGAGAATATGGCAGTGGATCCTATGTTGGTGTTGAGACTTAACAAGAAATATGATCTTGCAGTGGGAAATAACATGTACTATTTCCTGGCAATGATAGCATTTAACAGGCTTGTTAGAGTTTCCCGAGGAAGAAGAAATTGTGTATGCAACCAAGGGAGTGTCCACGGTAAGGTAGTTCTCCATAGAAGCTTGAGAACTCAACAGAGTTTCTTCTCGAAGACCTTTAGAAACTACCACCTCCAAAGTTGGTAGTTTTTTGCAATTAAGAATACTAGAATGTAAATGCTCGACCTCGGGCCTGAGCTTCATTAAAAATTGAACTTCCCTTGTCCTCTTCATCGTATTCATGAAATCCTTAAATCCAACCTCAAGGATAAAGGCAGCAAAAAGTTGATCTTGTATAGCCCATAATGTGAGTAATACAGAATAGAAATGCCGAACACTTTTATCACCTTGTATAAATTATGCAAGTAGTGTTTCCAATTCAAATTATCAAGCCAGATTTGGTTGGTTACCAAGGGTATAAACATGACTCCACATTTCTGATGCTTTCTCAAAAGTTGTCAGTTTCATGTCTACATCAACCGAGACGGAATAGAAAAGCCATGTGATAATTCTGTTATTGTCAGCCTCCTAGGCCTATTTTTCTTTGTCTTCGTGGGTACAACATTTGAGCCATCCAGAATATCAAGGAGGCGTTTGCTTCTAATGAAGGCATTGTAATGGAACTTCCAAATCGGATAGTCATGCCCATCAAATTTTGTTGACAAGGTATCTCGTGAATCTATCCTAATTCAAAGAGCTAAAGAGAAGTCAAAAGGGATCTATCAAGGAATAGATTCAGAGATGATAGGAATGATGGATATGGATTAAGAATCCAAACCAAAGATGAACGAAACAACTTTACTGGAGAGAAAAAAATAGAATAGTGAGGATATAGGGAAAAAACAAGGCTCTTGATACCAAGTTGGATAACGATAGAGATCCAAAACAAATAGAGATAATTGAATTGTGATCTATTTATTGAATAATAAAACTGTAGTATTTACAATATATTTACACAATTAATATATTCCTAATTATCTACTTTTTAAGATAATGACCGTTAGCTATAATGGGAGACCCTGATTTGGGAGAGATCCCTGATTTAATGTCGATATAGAAGGTATAGTCAAAAACCAGGTATTGTGAGGCTATAGTCTAATCCAATCCTTTCTTTTGTTATAAATGATTGAAAAGGCACAAATTGGGTTCCGATGAAGACTCGATATCTAGTTTTTCAAGAAGGAGTATGATAGTCTGCAAAGAGCTCATATGACCCTCTGCTAAAACATCATTCACAGTAGATGTATGAGAAGGGGGAAGTACTTATGATTGATGGAGGACGATTTTTTCTTATAGTGAAAACTTGAATCTAAAGAGAAAAGGAAAGAGCAAAAGAAGGGGGAATTCATCAATAACACAATAGAAGCCACAACAAAAGGGAAAGGATCCTCAACACACAGTGCATTTGGTGCAAGTAATCAAACAAGGTCGTGGGAGGCTTGCTAAGTACAAGGAGGTTTGGGCAAAAACAGATGATGGTAGAATTTCATCTTTGGCAACAAATGAACCAATGTTGAAGTTCTATCATCACCATTTTTGGCCCCTTCTTCCTTGTTGTTAGAAGGCCTCACATGACCATGTTTTTTTAGTTGCTCCAAATGCACCACATGTCGAGGATCCACCTCCTTTTCCTTTTGTTGCTGCTTCTTTTGTACATTTGAAAAACTCCCCTTCTCTTGCTCTTTCCTTTTCTCTTTGTATTTGAGTTTTCGCCGTCACCAAGAAGCCAAAACCGTCTCCATCAATAATAACATTCCCCCCGCCCCATTCACACATCTTATTTAGATGATGTTTCTACATTGTTGTATGAGACCTTGGAAAACTGTAATTATTTTACATGATAAAAAAACTCAGATATCAAATCTTCATTCGAACCCCCTTCTTTGTCTGATTCGTACAACACCTTTTCAATCATCTATAACAAAACAATAAATTCGAGTACACTATAAAGATTTGATTTACATAATTAATCAAAAAAATTCATAAGAGTTAACCCCTCCTCAAATTGAAATCTATAACGAAAGAATTCATTTGTATCCAATAATCAATCCTAATTTTTTCAAAAATTCGAAGGAAAAAAAAAAGATAAATGGGATTAATTAAAACATTCTACAAAATAAGTTAATTCTAAAAAATCACAAACTTAAGTGAAAATATGAATTAATAAACCATAAGGATGATGATCGGGGTAGTCTGATCTACCCCGAAGACCAGACATAAACCGATCAAGATGTTGATGAATCAAATTTTTGGCCTCTAATAATAGAGAATTTGGTTCACTGTAGGACATTTTGACAATTCCTTCTTTGAATTTGTCCATGACTTTCTCCAGATTCTTCTTCTTCTACAATAACTTAGGTTTTTTACAAGTTTTTTTTGGTGTGTTGATAGATACATCATTTTTCATGGTATTCCCTATTTATAGAAAAATTTTGGGTGGTTATGTTGTGACATTTGAATTTTTATGGTTGTGGGGGTGATTTTATTTTTAAAACATGATTTTATTTTGAGATAGTGTATGAAGTGTCTTATTTTAAAATAAATATTTTTTAAAAAATAAAATCATGCCTCAAAATCATTTTTAAAAAAATCACAACATAACCACCCAAAAAACTTCTATAAGTAGGGAATACAACCAAAATGATATATCTGTCAACACACCAAAAAACATCTTGTGAAAACCCTAAGTTGATGTAGAAGAAGATGAATCTGGATAAAGTCATGGAGAATTGCGAGAAGGAATTGTGAAAATGTCCAACAGTGATCCCAATCCGCCATTATCAAAGACTCAAAACTCGATTCTTCAACAACGACACCTTAATCGTTTTATGTATGGTCATCAAACTACCCCTGATCATTCTTCTTACACTTGGATAATTAATTTTTAAACTAAAGATTGTGTTTTTTTGTTAGAACTAAATGATTTGTAGAAAGTTTTAACTAATCTCCTTATCTTCTTTTTTCGAATTTTTGAAAAACTTATACTTGATTATTGGATAAAAATGAGTTCCTTGGTTATAGGTTTCATTTTTAGGAAGTATTAACTCTTATGAATTTGGTTGATAACAATGTAACTTAAGATACTTGTGGTCAAGCCTTATGAGATTATAGTCTAATCCGTTCCTTTCTTTTCTTATGGATGATTGAAAAGGTGTTGCAGGAACTAGATGAAGAAACAAGGTTCGAAGAAGACTCAATATCTAGTTTATCAAGAAAGAGTATGATAGTTTGTCAAGTGCTCATATGACCCTCTGCTAAAAAACATCATTTGTAGAAGATGTGTGAAGAGGGAGAAGTACTTATGATTGATGGAGGATGGTTTTAGCTTTTAGTTGTAAGTCAAAACTTTAATCCAAAGGAGACATAAAGAGAAAAAGAAGGGGGAGTTCATCAATAACACAAAAGAAGGGTGACAAAAGGAAAAGGATCCTCGACATGAGGTGCATTTGGCGAAACCAATAAAACAGTGTCGTGGGAAGCTTGCTAAGTACGAGGAAGCTATAATTTCAGCATTAGCAACAAAAGGAACCAATAGATCAATGTTGTCAGAAGTCACTCAAGGTCCAGGAAGTCAGGGCTGACCAAGACACTTATGAAGGACTTGAGATTATCTTAGAAGAAACAAAATAATCTAGGGCTAGGAAGATATAGGATGGGACACTAAAGTGAGGATATTTTTCATTATGATTAATTGTTTGTATAATGTTTTACTTCATCTATTAATTGTTTTCCTATAAAAATAGAATTAATTATAGTTTATCATATGGGTTTGCTGGGAAAAAAATTCTTGGATTATAGTTTCATTTTGAGTGCTTAGAAATGGGTCATTCTTGATAATCCAAATTTTCATTCTTCATTTCTTATCTTGTCTTCATAACTATCCCACAGCATCATCCTTGTATTGGTAACTCATTTCTTCATATAATTTTTTAATCTTTCATTATGATAAATTGTTGTCAGTGATTTGAATGGAGTTTTACTTCATCCTTAATCTTATTTGGAAAATTAAGGTTGATTGAGGAAACCATGCATGCATCTTAGATGCAACAATCAGTGTATCCTCACTAGAGGGGTTTAGTGATGACAAAATATATAGCACTCGTTACCTCTATCTTTGAGGGATATAGAGACTATTTTACATAAACTCTCGTCTAAAAAAAACAGAGACAATAAATAAAAATGTATAAATAAGTGTAGCAATAAATATAAATTCACATTGGAGAAAATAAACTACGCAGATCTTAAATCAAGAACCAAGACAACAATAACATATCTACTAGCTTTATATCTTAATCATCAACCATCATATCTCTTTATGTAAAGTCATTTCCTTATTAGTTGATGTTGTATCATTTCCTGTAAAATCAACTCCCTTAATTCCTTTTCATTGTACATATACCTCACCTAACTCCTACGTACAACCAACATGTAATACATCCTCACAATTCCTATTATCATGGAGGTAGCACCTTGTGTAGTATAACTTCATTCTTAATCATATTTCTCATAGTATGCCTACATATCCATTTGAGCATTATCATTTCCATTGCCTTCATCTGCTTCATACAATAGTTTTAGTCTAACCACTAGAATATGTAATTTATCTTTAAACCTTGTGACATATTTTTATCACATAGTATACTAGAGGTGAACCCACATTTTATTCACCTTATTCCAATACGGTGTGTGACATCATCGTCAATCAAACCGTCTCCTTAAAGTATAGACTGGAGAAATTTAAAATCTTGAGTATGACTAGTGCATCAATCTTCACTTTCGTTTCCCCTTCATGAGTTATAATTGAACTTGCACTCCATACAATCAATTCGATGCAATTTAATTCAGAATGTCAAATAAAAACATCAAACAATAAAACCAGAATACTAGAATAACAAGGCAAGAGCAATAAAATATCAAAACAAGAACGATAGAACCTGGGTGGTATCGAGGGTCATCTAGATGATAAGGAATGATCAGACGATATTAAAATTGTCGAAGCTCATCAAGCGAGTGGATCGATGGAACTAGGTCACCCCAAAATTCATCAACCTAAAGGGTTTCTTTTTACCATACATGTTGTTTCGCAGATGCAACACACATACATAGAGAGGAAAGAGATAGATCGAAAGAAGTAGAGGGGCGATCTACGATACGTGACTCCAACCAAAAAGTAGAAGAAGAAAAGGGGTAAGATAGAGATAGAGAGAGGGGGGAGGGGGGAGATAGGGAGAGAAATAAAGAGAAGAAGGAGCCCTTATTAAATGAAATACACTTTATTGTCGCATATTCCAATTTATGTTTATAAATGTCACTTTATTGCTGCATATTCTAATTTTACTTCCCTCATATATTTGTGTATGTAAATTCATTCATTATAAAGATATTAATAAATAATAATCATTCAAATTACGATATACGTATTCGGTAGATTGATATAAACCATGTTGTCGTATTAATTTATGAAGAGATAATATATACAATTGGCTGATTTGATAAGAATATTTATATCTAATAATGGTATTGAATAGAATATTGAACAATAATAAAATTCCCCCGCAAAACCATTTGGGATGAATATAAGGGATTCGAGACGAGTTTTTCACCAAATACACAATTATACACAATCGTAATATCAAAATTTGCTCAAGTCGCGTACTTAGCCCCAACAACAGCATAACCCACTCGTAGATTTATATTGGGCCACATATCTTGATTTGGGCCAATATTGTATTCTCTTTATAGGGTAAATAATAGAAATCCATTTGTTTATAACCCAGAAAAGGGCGCCAAAAATATATTTTTTATCTTTTAAGCCTTAATGACATATTCTTATCGCATAATATACTAGAGGTGAGCACTATTTTTATCCACCTCATTCCAATATGGTGTGTGACATCATCATTAATCAACCTGTCTCGTTAAACTAGACGGAAGCCATTTAAAATCTTGAATATGACTAGTGCATCAATCTTCACTTTCACTTCAACCTCACAAGTTATGACTGAACTTGCATTCCATTTATAATCAATTTAATTCAGAATATCTAATAGAAACATCAAACAATAAAACAAGAATACTAAAATAACTAGGCAAGAGGGACAAAATAACAAAACAAGAACGATAGAACTTAGGTGTATTCGAGGGTCGTCCAGATGATAAGGAATGATTCGACGATTTCAAAGTCATCGAAGTTCATCAAGCGGGTGGATCGAAGGAATTAGGTATCCCAAAATTCATCGTAAAAAAGGGGTTTCCTTTTACCCCTCATGTTTCTTCACATATGCAAAACAAACACATACACAAAGCAGTAGAAGAGGAAAGAAATAGATCGAAAGGAGTAAAGGGGCGATCTACGATGCTTGACTCCAACTAACAAGTAGAAGAGGAGGAGGGATAGATATAAAGAGAGGGAGAAAGAGCGAGATTGATAGATAAATAGATATATATATAGATAGATAGAGAGATGGGAGATAGGGAGAGGAATACAGAGAAGAAGGAGCCCTTATTAATCGATATTCCCTTTATTGTCATATATTCTCATTTTAATACCCTCATATTTCTACATATGTAAGTTTATTCATTATTGAGATATTAATAAATAATGATCATTCAAATTACAATATTTGTTATGGTTAGATGCATATAGACCATATTATGGTATTAATTGCAATTGGCATAATACATATATTGGACCCTAAACTTTACTTTAAATTTTAACTTTGACCTACAACTTTTATAATGCAAAAACAGACACTTTAACTATCCAACTTTTAAATAAATAAACACATGAGTCCTACATGGAAAAATACATGTAGGACACCACGTAGGACAAAAAATGACATGTAGAATGACATGTAGGACATGTGTGTCTATTTGTTCAATTTTGTACAAGTTTAAGTGTCTACTTATGCACACCCAAAGTTGAAGGGCATATATGTGATTTGAAGTCAAGTTAAAGGGCATATTTATGTATAATGCCAATTTCTCAATTATTTTTGGAGTTACGAGCGCATCTCCAATTCAATCCTCTATTTTACTCTCCAAATATAGAGTTCTATTTTTTTCAAATAACCAACTCCAACCAAATTATTTATTTTACCGTCTAAAAAGAAAAAATTTTCTCTCTTCTAAATATTATATTATTATTTCTACTTATCCTTATTTCTTAATATTAATATTTTGTGTATTTTTTCTAAAATAATTACTTTATATAATTTTTAATGTAATATAAAATAATATTTTTATTTTAAGATAATTACGTTGCTCCCATAAAGCTCTATTAATGCATTACAAAGTTCAAAATGGGCTTTTTTGTCCTTAATTTTTTTATGTCTAGCTAAAAATTATTCAAATCAGAGATTTTTATCTACCACCATTTCTATAGTTGGAGTTGGAGCCTCTACGACATCTTATATTGGTGCATTAAGATCACATTCATCCTCAATTATCATGTTGTGCAGTACAATATGACGTTATTATATCATGTAGCACTTAATTTCTCAAAATATGTTATGGTCCTGCAA